CACAAACACAAGAAGAAGAAGAAGAAGAAGAAGAAAAGATGAAACCAAGAACCACTACTCGATACCCCAATCATCCCCCCCATCCATGTAATCCCCCTCTGCCCTCCAATCCATCCTTTCTCCTTCCTCCTCTAGGCCTCCACACCCTCGCCAGTCCCGCCATTCTCGAAGAATAACCCGTGAACAATCGTGTTCCCAATCCATCCGATCCTCACCCTCCGCATCGAAATTCACCCCAATAATTCGGCGAAAACTTCGTAGTGCCACGATCATCCTTGCCAGGTTCTCACCGCCGCAGCAGCAGTTGTAGTTATGATGGTAGTAGTGAAAGCGAGATCTAGAGCGGTGGCGACGGTAAGGAATTGGCTTGGTCATTTGACTGATTAGGTTTGGCTGGTTAGGGGTGAAGGAGGAGAAGGCATATATAGACCATGGATAGTATCTTGAGGAAATTAGAGAAGGGAGCGTCAGTGGGTGCTGGAATGAATTTTCGGCATTCACAAAGCCTGGGTCTTTCCAGAGGTTCTATAATGCATAAGAGTTCTTGTATCCTTTCATGCAGATCCTAACGTGAAAGTGGACGACACTTCCGCCAAGAGCACTAGAATCATAGCGAAGGTTTGGGTTAGCCATTTTTTGTTGGGTATTTTGATGCTTGATAGTTATTTAACATTGGGCTAGGCAGGGGGTAAGGGCCGAGAAGGCTATACGGGTACCTGCAAGTTTCTCTAGCTAGGACCCTTTAGGAAGAAGAGTAGGTTTTAGGAACAAGTCTTTGTCCTGTAGCTGCTATATAACGCATTCTCCTGAGACTCCTTTCTGGAAGGCTTTGGTGGCTGAGATTGGATCAGTGAAGGTGGCATAGTCTCGGCGGAGGCTCCTGAGATGTTTCCAAGTGCCACTCAGGGGAGCGGCTGTTGGCGAAGAGGACTTGCATACTTAAATAAGAGGATTTTAGTTGGAAGAGGTGCTTGGGGAAAACATCGTCATAGCGTCTACCCCAACTACTTATAAGCTATTCGCACGCACTCACGCATCCCATAGTCCGCTTGCGCGTTCACTAATCATTCACCCCACAACCGATAAAAATTACCCCGCTATGATGCCAGTGTCGGGCACGGCGAGCCTAGGCCCGACCACTCATTATGCCCCCCCCTTTAAAGGCTGCTCACGAACTTAGGTGCCGGACCAGTTTCCTTCTTGTCTTCACTTTTCCCAACTTCACTTTTCCCACTGCCCCCAAAAACCCCCGAAATGCCCACAAACCTCCCACACATCTGCACCCACCTTCAAAAAACAGATACAACCCATCTTTCACTTCTGCTCCCAAATATCCACAAGCCGATTGCGACAGAGGTTAGACTTGCAATCCCTCGATCCGTGGTCAATTAGTTTACCATCGGGCCATACATCCGACGACGCTCCGCTAGGAAAATATTTTTATGAGCTGTGGTCAGGTGCTCCGGGTAGTGCAGAAGAGGTTAGTTGGAAAAATGTGACGCCGATGCTGGTGCGGTGGAAGGGGTCTTCCTCGAAGGTGGCTAGCTGCTAGCGGGAGGCGTATAAGTGAAGAGAGATGGGTAGGGAATGTCAAGCCCTTACAACTTGCGTTCAAAGAGCCAGATAAAGCAACACATAGTGTGAGCCTGTCCACTTTATAATACTCCTAATCACTTGTTCACTTAAAACTTTCAAGCCCAATTCCGTCCTCATAGCCTTCATAGTTAGTAGGCAGAGGCTCTTATACAGTCCCTGCATTACGCAGTATGATACCTTCTAAGAAAAGTGCATCGAGAGGATTTTGGGTGTGCCAAGCGTTACCTGAGGGAAGAATAGCTGAGGTCAACACCCCTCTTTGGATCCAGCGTAGGCACCCCACAGCGGCGATGCTGTTAGGCGGTATATACCGGTACCGTAGTCGACTCTGAAGGAAGATAGAGACAATTAAGGTCCAATAAGCATCGAAGACAGGGTGCGCATCGCTTGTGTTCTTAATGCCGCGACGTTTCTAAAACAGAACACTATTGCATACAGCCAAAAATTGTGTATGCAATAGCAGTCCGTTTTGCATGCGCCGCGACATTGCAAGTAGACACCAGCGAATGCTTGTGGAAGGTTGGGCCATCTAAAACAGTCAAATTTGCAGCCAGGAGCGCTAAGCCCAGATTCAGCAACGGGAAAATCAGCTTTTTACTCTTTTTAGTGCTTAGATGACTCAGCGCTCTCACTGAGTTTAAACATTCTCAACAAATCACAAAAAAAGCTCAAATCGTTCCAGGGCAGGCTTAGCGTGTCTGGCTATGAATTTGACTACCTCAAACCGTCCAACGGGCTATCAGAGAGAAAGACATAGCGAACACTCGATAAGGGAAAACGGCGAGGGCACACGAATAGGGCACACCCTATGAGAAAGCCTCATCTCGAGTGATCATGCATGAACATACCATATCTCGACTATCTAGCGTGGGAGCACAGTGGTGGATAGAAGACAGATGGAAACAGCCTATTATGGGATACTACATCAATGACCTAGCATTATCGTAGCTTCATCTAGATTCGCGCTTTGAGCTACATTCGTAGCCGGCCTCTGTCTTGAGTATCGCACCTTGGCTTAGCATAAGTGTCTAGAACCAGCAACCGACAGCTGTGCTGGCAATAGCAGACCAAACACCGGAATAACAACCGCAAAACCTTTCTATTGAGTGTATTTGGTCCTCCTCTGCTACCAGGAACCGAGTTGTCATTTTTGTGGCATCTTCAGAGTTGTTTTCTGTGCTGTTGAGTTGGTAACTTAGTTGGAGGTTGCCGCTTCCGGGCGTCTAGCCTCACCAAGTAGCGCCACCTATTCACTCCGAGTACAGTACAGTACAAAATTTGTATCATGAAACGAATGTAGTAAAACATCTCGAAGCTCGCGGCTAGAGAGCATCAATTGCTTATGCCCAAACTCGCATCGACTCCTCTATCGCTACAAGTACTCAGCTCTCTCACAACAACTATACTCGTATATTAGCGTATCACCACTTCCTCTCATCCATCCTTCCAGCCCCCCCTTCTAAATGCAGACACCGCCTTAAGTACAAGCACAGCCAAACCCGCAGCGGAAACCTCCGCAGAGCCGCAGCCGCCTTTCCCCCTGCCTAAGCGAGCTGGCAACTCTCAACATTTTCGATTTTCAAGCGAATAGAGAAGAATAGGGCAAGTTATCAACAAGAATTCGTAATTAGACTATGCTATGCTATCAACCGTGCCTTCATCTTGTAGGAAAAGAAACATAGAAGGAAATAAGAAAAGAGGAGATAGGAACAAAAAATAAATAATTGATAGCGAAAGAGGAGGGAGGAAAATGATCAGTTTTTAGCTCCAAACTTCTTCGCTCTGGCCTCTGCCTTCGCTCTCTCAGTGGGGTCGTCCAGGACACTTTTCTTGGTACCAGGCCCGCCACTACGAACTGCGAGTACGCCATTGCTATTCCCCCTCCTGTCATTATTATTCCCTCCCTGACCTCTCCTCCCTCTCCTGCGCTCCCGGCCGTCATTACCCCCAGCACTCCTCCCTGCGCCACCCTCACGAGCACGTTTCCCACCACGATCCCCACCATCGGCCCCCTCACGACCACGCTTTGGCCGCTCCTTCTTATCCGGCAGGGCGGTATCGAGGCCCTTAACAACCACGTCCGCATTCTGGACAGTGCCAAACTTCTTCGCGCGCTCGAGCATCTTCTCGGATTCGGTATCTGCGACGCCGAAGCGTTCCGCACGCTTCTTCTTCTTGGCGAGTTCGGCCGCTGCGTCTGAGGATTTCAGACCTGCCGTGAAAGATTTCTCGGCCGCGGCGGCGGTGGTGGCGGCGGTAGTAGCGGCGGGGGTGCTAGAGGTTGTGTTGTCATCTGTGACGGTGGAAGGGGAGGAGGGAGATGTGGTTTTTGCTGGGGCGTCGAATAAAGATGCGATTGATTTCTTCTTGGGTTTCACTGGTTGCGTGGGTGCGGAGGTAGTAGTGCTGGCGACTTCGGCCTTTAGCGCGGAGGTTGTGATTGGAGGATTTGAGGTGGTGGTAGTAGTAGCGGTAGCAGCTGGCGCAGCAATGGCAGCAGTAGCAGTAGCCGCGGGGATAGTCTCGTCGTTGTCCTCCCAGTCAACTTCGTAGTCGTCAGCAGTAGGTAGGTGGGCAGTGGCCTTTGGTGTTTTAGCCGCTGGAGCAGGTGCAGCGGCGGCATCGGATGCGACAAGACGCGCGATCAGGTCAGATTTGACACCGTTAGTAGGGAGCGAGCGCTTCTGAAGGGCATCGCGAAGGTCGGGGACTTTGAGTTTTGAATAGTCGGTCATGGCCACTGTTGATGAATTCGTCTCCGTTGAAATGAAAAAAGTGTTATGGTGGGAGAGTGGATGGCGGATGAGTCGCGGTTGATAGAAAATAAGTCCAGGAAGGAAGGTGAGGTGTGATGTGGTTGTAAAAGGAGGCTGGCAGGGGGGCGTCAGGACGCGGCCAGAGTTACGGGTTTGTTTTGCTTGGAATCCAGCAAGTATATGGTATACTGAGATATACCCTTACGCTCTGTTATTCTGAGAACATCACAAGTGACAGTCACCACTCCTAAGCCATCCCCGAACAAAGAAAAATAAACGCCTGAGAAATTCCCAAAGGTCTAGAAACACTAGGCTAAAATGAAGGAAGAAAGTATCACGAATTAACCTCCTCTTCTGTACTTCTTCCAACGGTCCCCAGACTACGGTAGGATCTCATCAGAACCCGCAAATATGCAAACCACTTTCATCTAAGTTAAGTCCTCTTCACCATAGGACCATTAACTAATGAATTCAAGATCCTCTTTCTTCCTCTCTCTCTGTCAATAATATAGTACGGTAACCACATATCAACAAAGTACCCAAGCCAACCCCGAGAAAGTCTGGTCTTAGCAAACTTTTCGATCATGACTCTTGGTTTTCACCACACACACAACACCAGAAGACCTTCGCAAGAGGGTGCTCGCGGAATGATCGCGGCAGGGATCGGACCTGCAATCTCTTGATTCGAAGTCAAGCGCCTTGCCATTAAGCGATGCGGCCGACGAGGTTCATCGTCAACCTTGTGCGACACTTTATTCAGTCATAACATGTCACTCGATGTTAGATTTTTCTATCATACCAGCGGAAATGTTTACTCTTTTGACTGAGCGAATCTGGTCTATTTGTGATGCTCGCCTCTCCATAGCCAACGGGGTATGGGGCCTTTAGTAGACGATTAACTATCCCAGGGTTATAGGGCGAGGGCATCTATTGCACCGTATCTGCCCATTGCAGCCTCTTTGCAGCTTCTTGTTCTGTTGATAGCACCGGTGTGTAAGTATGGTTCCGTTATGTTGCCACTGTCATCCCCCGAATGTTCTACCAGGGTACGATCTCAACATGGTAATATTTCTCTTGAGGGTGTGGTGCGGACGGGAAGTCGCGGCGGTAGTGTTGATTGTATGATAAAGGCGGATACCCACTCCGTGAGGCCCTGAGGTTCAGAGACGGTTTCGAAGACGCGATGGCAGACGGGTAGGTTCCACCACGCGCCGACGGATTCACAAAAGTTTGTCCTTGGAGCGCACTCTCTCCTCTTCTTAGGCGCTGTGCTGAAGTTGGGTACTCTCAGGCCAAGGGGAATAACTATCTGATATATTAGTGCCAATCATTCTGAGGGTCAATACCGTCACACCGTAAGATCGGATTTCTTCCCTCTTATCTGGGGGCATCAGCAAACATTCCACTTGAACGGTAGCCCACGGCGAAGCGAGTCCACGGTGAGGCGAGAACGCCCATACAATTTTTATAAGACAGGGATTATTTATATGGGCATTCTCGCTATGCCGTAGACTTGCCATGCCGTGGAATACCGTAGGTGGAAACGGCTCTCTGGAGGAGCCGAGAGTACTAAATCACGTGACGTCACAGATGGAGCTTGTTATGAACATTCGTGGCTCCGGAACCCCAGACTTCAGCAGAGAGAAGTGGCGACCTTTTTTCTTCTCCGCTGCGCGGCGCAGTCTTACACCTAGAGTCGTGAAAGGAAAAATTCGTGTGCGGCATACACTCGCGTCTGAAAAGTTCTCGTAACCACAGTGGTACCTTCTTGTAGCTGTGGCTCGGGTAGTATGTGGGTGCTAGCCAAGAAATAGCCATACCGTAACCACTGTGTATAGAGACCGTTGCCAAGGAGGGGCGGGATAAAATTAACCCTGAGCTATACTATATGAGGAAGAAAAAGACGAAAAAACATCAAAGCGAACAGGCGATCAAACCTGATTTCCCTTGCTAATTGGCTTGAGGACTGAGTGAGCTGTTCACGTAATTCAAATCTACCCCAAAAGTGGTATAGTTTTGAGGGCTACCCCCTTGGCAACGGTCTCCATATACACAGTGGTTACGGTAGATACATGAAGTACCAGTGTGGTTACGAGAACTTTTCAAACGCGAGTGTAGTATGCTGAAGCGACGCCTGAGGGTATATTCGACATGACACAGTATTAGCTATGGGGGGTGATACCACTTCCACTGCAAAGTCAGCTTGGTGGCAGGTGCTGGCGGGAATGGGTGTGGGTGGGTGATCGCCTAATGAATGGGCCCTGATCAACAGCTAGAGACAATGTGCCCCTTGGGGACCCCATAGCTAGAACCTGGAAGAATATCTATTGCCTGCTGTAAACGAGCGGTTTAGGAAGGACCAGCGCCTCCCGTTTCTCTTCGATTTTCAAGCTTCGAAAAGCTATTACCCCTTCGACCCGTCCCGACCCAAAGCTACCCAGGAAATCAATGGAGAGTGATCACAGAGTGAACGGAAAAAACGAGGCATTTGTCGACCCACACCACCTGCATGAGGCGGTCGTCGCAATATCCGACCTGTCTAGAGGTTTCGTTAAGCTCAACCCTATTTCAGCAATCAAGTCCTTTTTGAGCAAAGTTCCGGAGCTACGTGATGGGGCGGATACCAATGTTTCCTCCCTGGAAATCCCATAAGGCAGCGAGAACTTATGGGGAAGCTCTCCTGGAACATCTTCTCACAGCCGCACAGGACGCACGTGCCTGCAGAGCACTACTCGTAATGTCGAAGCGTTTTTAGAAAAGACTGCTATTGCATACCACCCAAATTGAAGAAAAAGTGCAAATTTTAGGTGGTATGCAATAGCAGTCTTTTCTAAAAACGCTTCGACACTACGAGTACAGTGGCACCCCGCTGTCCCGGACAGATTCCTTGGATTTTCGCCGTCTAGGGTAGCGAGGTGCGACTGTATTGGCTCGAATACACATGGCTTGGAAGGGGCGGCAGCACTTGGCAATCCAGGGAAAGTGCAAAATTTCGATCACGTTGTAGAGGGGGCCCTCTCCACGTACCCGGAAGTGTAGGCACGTTTTGCCGCGGTGTTCTTTACGAACTTGCTACTACGGCTAAGAAAAGGGGAGGAGATTGCGGTGCTGGCCGATTGCATCTACGCGTACTTGGAGGGAGGTGCGGTTGAGTGTATGTCATGAAGTGACAATATGGTGAGTTTGCTGCGTACCGGTTGTGATCGCGACCAGATATGATAGGTTGAATTGCTTGCGGTTTTGGCGAACGCAACGGCCGGAGGGTGTTTGTTGATATGCTCAAATACAAGCGGGGCCCTATTGGGAATATGGAATTTGAACATAGCGCCTAGAGATCTAGTAAAAAAAAAAGGTGGAGCCCTATAAATTCCACTCAGGGTTTAGCTTGCTTAATGCCGTCCTAGGTAATGGGGAGGGAAGCTGTTGAAGGATGTATATCGGAACCTAGGATTTTCGATGTGGCCGAGGGCGGTATCAAATCGAGTAGTGTTGATGGAGGACCGAGGAAGTGTTGAAGAAGGGCTAGGTTGCCATTGTAAAGCCAAATGCGGGACACAAAACTGTGGCCCTGGGTGGCAGAGCAGGTGTTTGGTGGCACTTGTGGGAGCTTGAGATGTGTTTGAGTAGATACAACACTTGTATAGTCGGCTCATTCCTTGTGGTAATGTGAACAATCGACTTGTCATAAGTATGGCGCTCTCTAATTGCACTACGGTTATAATTTCTGTACCCCTCTTAAAAAAACCATTGGACTTGAACCTTTTGTCACAGCGCGGTCGAAAACAGGGTGGTAGCTTAGGAGTCTTGGGTGAGGGGGAAAATATTGGGACAAGCAGGGGGTTCAATGTCTGTGCAAATTACTGGTATCTTCAATCCCACTTCAAGTAATTTGCAAGACATCACGCCCCCCTGCTTGTCCCAATACTTCACCCCTACCCCGAGTAAGCGCATTACGTAAAACTTCTCTTCTTAGTCTACCCATGAAGTATCCCTCCTCCCTATCTACCATAGTGTGGGATGGGCTCTCTGCCTCTTTCTACGGTGTTTCTCAGAGCCGAAATATGTTTGCTAGTACAATGCTTGGGCGGGTGCAGGCATTGGACAACCTGTCATGCCGCTGGCCGGGCTCGATATATCCCACTTCGGCTTACCCAACAGATTGCTTATCGGCAACTCACGGCTTTATCGCTACCGTACTCAATTATGATACCATTTCTTTTCTTCTGTGAGTCCCAGACTACTAACAAAAGCAATGGATGCTTACAGGTTGTCTATTATGAGCCGCTGTGGGCTTCCCAAAGATTCCTCCACAATCACAGCCCAAATGATATACGGTAAGCAGTGCTAGACTACCAGTAAGCTGGGCACCCATCGCTCAAAGCCAGCAAATGCCACTCCCCACAAGCTTGGGCCTGCAAAAATCATGGCTGAACAACAGAGCATGCAAGATATCACGCCGAGTGATAAAATATGCACTTGGCAAATATCTGAAACAGGAGTAGGCGCTACTCCTCTTATGGCTACTCTTACATCACCTCCTCACTCGAAGGAAATCGTTGAGAAGCGAGAGAAAATAAAAGAGGATTTCTCACGTTAACTTCGGGTTTAATGTGGGGTCGCCTTATTGCTTCCAGTCTCTGGGATGAACTGAGTGTGCTCCGGAACCTCCGGATCAAACTGGTAGGTTCAGGGGTTTTGCTTCTTGAATTGAAGGCTCTTCTCAATGGCGTGATGAAGCAACTAACTTACAAGGCGACAGCGCTCGCGGTCTGCTCGTCTGGGGCAGGAAGTATCGGAACACAAGGATTAGAAAAATATATGGCCACTCATCCGTGCATGTCTGTCGGCGCGAAGAAAATTATACCCTTAATATGCGGGCACTTCTTGCCTGGGCCAAGCCGCCCCAGCCGTTCAATCAGCGGATACCGGTATCCAGTGATGGCTGTCATACCATATCCAGCCCCTCCCCTGTATACAAGTACCCAGCAAGAAGTACCTGAACATTGGGTGGGTAAACGCCATTTTAGGGAATTCTCACCCAAATAGCCCCTGTTAAACAGTGTACACTGACCTCTAAGATATGTCTTGCCTCTGAAATATCCCTGAAATATCCTTGTATTATCCCTGTATTATCCCTGTTTTCCATCCAAATGTTCAGGTACTTCTTGAGGGGGACTTGTAGCCTTGAAACTTGAGGAGAAGTACACGTACAGTAGATGCGGGGCGGCCCAACTGCCAAGGTGTGACAAGGGATACCGTACCTGTCCGCTGCAGGATGGTGGTGCAATTTTGGTAGTACACATACTGTATCGCAATCAATACTACTGTAAGACTGTATCATAAATAACAGGTAAGAGGTATCTGGACACAGGGACTAGAAAGATATATATGGCTACTCGAGTAATTATCTGTACATATCCGAACGCCCATATTAAATTGGAACTCGAATGTTTAGGTACCGGTACTGTGCTAGGACTTTTTCTTTTTGTTTTTTAAACACTTTTTCCATTTTGGGTTTTATGACTGTGGGTTAGTTCTTACCTTGCCTGGAACTTGGATAAAAGAAATTTGTCTCTGGAGGCGTAATGCCGTATTTTGAAACTGATTGGAGAAAGTACTAGCAAAACAAAATAACGCGTTGCTTAAAGGGGAAACTTCGACCTCCTAGGGAGGATTTGTCCTACAGGCAAGGATAGTTAGCAGTTTGTATGCATTGCGCT